CAACCCCATAATAGAAAAGCATCCAATTTAACCTAAATATTTCCGTTTGTTTATTTAATTTACTGAACTTCTCTAGAGCTTCAGTTATTAGTGATTCTAAGCAAGGTACATACTCAACATCCACAATTAGCTTACAATACATTATGACAACAATACCAATAATAAATAGTAACAAAGTGCTATAACATCTATACCATCTATACTTCTACATCGAGGTACATAAAATACAAGCAGGTAGCCCATTCAAGATTACAACATCCCAAACCCAGCAACTGGCTTCCAGTTGAGTTATGAATAAAACAGCGGTCTCCAACAGGTTGAATGCCAGTGGCTGAGGAGATGACATCATTGCTTTCAGTAGAAGCAGAGCCTTTCATAAGGGCACTAAACTTTCTTATCACATTTGGAAATGCTCAATTTAACCACTTTCTGGATATTAGAGAGCTTCAAAACAGTTTACTTTGACAGCTGGTGAGTTTTACTTTCTTTAAGACATTTTAGACAGAAATTTAAAATAACATACAATTTGCAAAAAGCAAAAAAAATGTTTTTTTAAAAGTTTTAAGCAGATTGGGAAACCAAGGAGATTTAAAAATTATTGTTTAAAAAGAATGTAACAAATCAAACAATAAAGGACATTGATGTGCAAAAAGAAAAAAGAGGAATACAGCAACTGAAAAGGTCCATCCCTCTACTGCAGAGTTTCTCAACCTTGGCAACTTGAAGATGTCCAGACTTCAACTCCCAGAATTTTGGGAGTTGAAGTCCGGACATCTTCAAGTTGCCAAGGTTGAGAAACACTGCTCTACTGGTAGTATTCATTTAACAACCATTTGCAGTTTTGACAATGATGAAATCGTAAGTTTATGACCAATCATCACATTTGCAAGATCTGTAAAGCCAAGGAATAAGTAATACCATAAGCACAGTTGTAGCTTCACTTTGCAAGCTTTAACATCCCAGTTGCTGGGTCCAATTGTGATTGTTCAAAGAGGACTTCCTATAGTCACTACTTATGAAAACATTCAGAGAAAATTCATTTTATCAATCAGAATTGGGAACAGACAATCTGAAGGATACCCAGATTAATTGCACCAAGAAGCCAACTGAGAGTTTGTCAGAGTTTTGGCAGCGTGACTATTCAGCTTCAGTTAACAGATTACCGTTTACAACCTTTCACCAGCCAGAAGCTATTAAATCCTCAGTACCTTGACAGAGTTAATTCAATTCCCAAAAATAGCAGCGTGATATGAGAAAAACAAGATGCCTCCCTAAATGCTTAAGTTGTTGTATTGTGGACCAGCTATAGCAGGACTGTCAAACTCAAGGCCCGCGGGCCACATCTGACCCATGGGGTACTTAGATCTGGCCTGTCAGGTAGCCATGGAAACGGCGAATGATTGGCCCGTGGTGCTTCTGCCAGTGAAAATGGAGCTTGGGAGGGTTGTGATCTGGGGGGGGTGGGTATTTTTGCTGGCAGAGGGCTAGCAAAACAAAGCAAAAGGAGAAATGTTTTGCATTTGAGCATCCAAGAAGGGACAGGAAGAAAAAGGTAAAGGTAAATTAAAAGAAGGAAAGATGGGAAGAGAGCAAGAGAGGAAAAAGAAAGAAAGAGCGGAAAGGACAAGAAAGGAGAATTAGGAGGGAAGGAAAAAGAAAAGGGAGGGAGAGAAGTCCTGTCTTAGCACTTGGCCACCAGCAGGAAAGTCTCCTCCGGAGAACAAGGGCTTGGCGCTCTCCCTGATCTAGCCTTCCTCCGCTGGAGACAATGGATCCCCCCCCAGCCCTGCCTGGACCACTACAGGTGTCCCTTACACAAGGGCTGCTATGCCCATCCTGGCCGTGCACCCCCTCAAGTCAAACCCTGATGAGACTCTCATTAAAATAAAGTTTGACATCTCTGAGCTATAGCCTCCATTTCATCTTTAAGGACAGCCTCATACAGTAGTCCATGCAGCAGTCCAAATGAGAGGTGCATGATTTGTGTGAAGGCAGCCTTTTCTCCAGAAGGGATTGCCACTGGCGCCTAAGATGGAGCAATGCAAAGACTCTCCCATCCAGCATGGCCACAAGTCCATATTATTGTCATTCAAAAACTTGCAAACAATTTGATTCAGTCAAGAGATGGAAACTTTCGGAGGGGGGCAACTTTCTACAGTTTGTTGACCAGAAGTGATGGTATTTTTTAAAGGAAATATAGTGAAAGCCAAAATTTTCATTATGGGCTTTATCATTTCAGCAGGGTAAAAGTCTTTTCTATTTGGAAACTTGTTTGGGAGGATTTTTTTTACCTCATACAGGCCTAATTATGCGAGTTCAGAAAATCCCTAAGGGAGGTAAAACATCTTTTATTAGCATTTCCTGTCAGAGAGCTGCATAGTTAGTATTGTTTTTAGTATTCAGGGATATACAGATTTTTTGTAAAAAGGAAGGTAAGAGAAAGAAATGGAAACTGATGAGCCATGCAGGATATGTCAGAGAAAATGGAAATCAGAATAAAAATGATAGGGTAGCATGTTGGCAAGTACCATCTCCAAAATGAATGTGAAAGCTATTTCTACAATCAGCAAATGGTCCAATTGTTAGAAAGCTGGTGTATGAGCTATGTAAGCACAATGCATCTCTGACACCCAGTGGTCAATCGATAAAGGTGCAAGATATTTTTTCCACATTCTCTAACCATTCTTGTCTCTATTGGAAACGGCTAGTACCAAATCTACTTATTTCATCAAAGCATCTTACATTTTATAATCCCAGATAGCATTTTCAAATCAGCCTCTTCCAAATATGTTGGATTATAGTGGTCATAATTTTCAGCTATCAGGGTTAAAGTTGCTCCCAATTACTTTAGTAGGTAATGCAAAACAATCGGTATCAACATAACCAGGAAATGAGGCCCTTCACTCACTTGTGGCCTCAGGCCTGGGCCTTGTGAATGAAAAGCCAGTGGAGTGAGACCCATCCTAATCTCTGTTGGAAAAATGCTCCAGAGGGCAGGGCTATGGCAAAGAAGGCATGCCACTAGGTTCCTGCCAATCAATATTTCCTGTCTCCTAGAAGGTATCTGATCTCTCAATCTCTCTAGAAAGTTTCAAGTCATAACCTAAATCAAATTTAGGGGAATAAGGCTGGGCACCTGTGGCTTTCCAAAAGCTGAACCATAACTGCTTGCAACTGCCATCAGAATTACCAATGGTAAAGCATTATGGGAGCCAGGGATATCTGTGGGGTATAATTACAAAAAAAGTGAATATGGCAGCCATGATGGTTAAGTGAAGATCATCTATTTGATTCACAGACCAAAAAGGGCAGAATTGTGATTGTATCTCCATAGCCGCCATCTGCACTTTTTTAAAGAACAGTTGCCTTCTAGGAGCAATTATCCAGCAATATCTGGATATCTGTAGGCAAGGGGAAGCTTCCAAGCAGTCATGACTTATTGACAAATCTATGCAGGTTTTTTGGCAAAGTTTTTGTAAGTGATTTGCCACTGCTTTCTTACTAAGGACTGAGAAAGTGAGCATCCCAAAGACATTTAACTTTCATGCTTAAGGCAGGACTGAAATTCCATTTTCATTCCATTTTGGTGTTCTGTCTTCAGGTTTCAGGCATTCAAAAACACTCAGCACGTCTATTTTGAAGCTCGATCTTCCCTTCCCCCTTCTAATAATAATGTAGAAAATAGGACTATTGAAAAGCAGTTATTTATCGCTCAATTTTGAGAATAGGATTCCACGAGCGCCGAGGACTATAAAAATGGGTGTACACTCCAAATTCCACACAGATAACAATTCTTGAATTAGAGTTATTTTGGCCGACCTGCTTGGTAAAGGTGATGGAAATTACAGTCCACCAACACTGCAAGGCATCAAACTGGGAAGTCTAAATTACAAGTCACTTGGGAAGAAAACACAACCGATGGCAGTGGTTCTAATTTGTCTTAGAAAACAAAATTCTTGTAGATGTGGTGCCAGAATATACTTCCCATATACCCTGAAGACAATCTTAAATCACAACCAAGCACACTCTAAGACAGTGCTTGCTTAAGTAAGGTGTCAGGTCTTGAGCACCTGTTAAACATAAAGAAGTAGAATGAAAAATAAATTTGAAATATAAATTCAAATATATGCCACAATTGGATGGATTCACATAACAGACCAAGGCACATGTTGGTTTCCTAACCCACTGTTAAACTGCACAACGGTCTCCAAGCCAAACAAAGCATATTAAAGCCTATTAAAACTTCATTACTAGTAGCTTTCCTTAGGTTTGGATTATTACACTTGAGTTCAGCAGTGAGTGCCGGCACATCCAGGAATGGAAGGCTGATTCTCAGACTCCTGAGCTTAGAATCACAGGTTGGTGGGGACTTTAAAGGTCTTCTAGTCCAATCCCTCTGCCCAATGCAAGTATCCTGATACGATTCCAGAAAAAAGGCTATGCAAACCTTTCTTGAAAACCTCCAGGGAGGGAGCACTCGTGATTCCAGGAGGCGGACTGTTTCACTATTTAGGATCATCATTCTGAGACTATGTGATATATGCACAAACAGCTGCCTTCCTTGAGAGCGCTCCCGTCGGCTTCTATGGTTGTTTGAGAAGAAAAACACTGGAAGGGATCCGAAAAGAAAAGAGAAAACGAGGGCAACATGGAAGAGCCTAAAGTTCCAATCTTGAGAAGTTTAAGACTTTTGAACCAACTCCCAGAATTCCTGTTGCTGGCTAGGGAATTCTGGGAGTTGAAGTCCAGAAGTCTTAAAGTTACCAAGGCTGGATTATCCCTGCTCTAAACAATAAAGCCTCACTGCTCGAAAGACCGGTATAGTCAGACCCGATCTGACTTTCTCCGACTGCTTTTCCGGCATCTAGGAAACTTCCAAATAATCAGTTTTTCACCTCTTCCCTCCTTTAAGCGTTTCTGCGGCTTCCACTAGAGGAGGAGCTCACTCCGCAGTGGGAAAGAAAACCCCTCCCTCGCAATCCGCACATCCCTCTTTGGCTCCGTTAGCCGGGATCGGTTTGGGTTGGGGCGTTGCAGCATGGCAGATCCGGTCACGGAGCAAATCGGCGCTCGAACGGATTGGCAGCGCGCCCGGGAAGACCCCGCGGAATTGCCACTCGCAGCTGAGTGCTTGGTGGAGGACGCGGTGGGGAACAGGATCCCTTTCGGGACTCTTTACAAGGAACAGAAGACAATCGTGATCTTCTTGCGGGTGAGAGAGCTCCCCACCACCACACCCCGGCCTGGTTGTAACAAACCAGCTGGGGATTGACATCGCAGTTGCAGCCTCCAAGTGGATTGAAGCGTTCCTGGTTAAGTTATAGCATGGGCAAACTTTGGTTTGTAAACAGGCATTTTGGATTTCTATTAGTAAAAGTTAGCTTTAATAATGTTATGATTGACAAGCCGAGAGATCGGACGGACAAGCACTGCAAATGGTAACCATAAGGTGATGGTATCCTGCGTAGCTGTTTGGAGATTGAGCTGGGCTAAACATTGGGGGTGGGGGGGATTCCGCTCAGGGCGCAAGGGGCTTCCCGCAGCCTCGACCGATTTCTTTTTTAGGGGCCTACTCCCGAATAAGCATGTGCAGCCTAGGATCACACGTATATCCCAAATGCCCAAGCCAATGCTAAATTACTTAATATAAAAATTAAACTTATTTCAGGAATGGTTCACATGAAGGTAGAAGCAAAGCAATCACACCAAGGTTGTGCCTTTTGTGTGAACCGGCCACCGTAGTGTGTGGTTTAGGATGTTCTGTAAACACCCTGTTTGCAATTTAGACAGGAAAGTTTGTAAACTGGATCAGCACTGTGCCTGAATGTTGTAGAACATTTATTTATTGCTCTGTGATTCTGATTTTTATGAATTCAATGCACAGGAACAAATAAAATGGACTTCAATAAACAGGTTATCTTGCAAATGTATGATCTGACACCCATTGTTTCTCTCCCCCCCCCCCCTAGCATTTTTTGTGCTATATCTGTAAAGAATATGTGGAGGATCTGGGCAAAATTCCTAAGAAATTTTTGCAAGTAAGTGCAAGCAAAAGTTATATATAATATGGTTACTAACACAGAAGTTTGAAGTCTCCCTAAAATTACATGGTGTGAAGTTGTTTCCATATATGTGTTATGTGTGTTTTGATTACCGGTACCTGGGATGTTTATTGATGTTGACTCCCAAGAAAATGCAGCTATATTTTAATCTTAAAAGTGCATGGTCAAGATCATCAACCTTTGAAATACTGTATAATTTTAAGATGTTGGATGTTGATTAATACAGAGTACTATAGAAGTAATTATTGTCAGGTTATATAGATTTGGATAAAATCCTTTGATGTGTGCTTTAGCTAATCATCCACTATGGAAACTTCATCTGCCCTCAAGATGAAGTTCAGGATACAGCTAATCTCTCCTTAAAGAATCATAATTGCCTATCTGAAGATTGTAGACCTTTGAGGTCACTAAACCCCAGTAGATTTTGAAATATATATAGCCCTTTGAAGACTGCATAGACTTCGAAATCAGGTAAATGAAAGATACTTACAGTTACATGGGTTCCTGATCAGTTTACAGCACACTTTGCTAAGGGCCTAAATAATTTGGAAACCACAATAGATAGGCCAGGAGTTTGACAATTCTGCATTAGAGGATTTAAAGATTGGATTTTCACATAGGTATCTCAGAAGGTTTTGAAAATTGCTGTGCCTTGGTAGTTAAATAAATGATGGAATAAGGACATTTCAGTTTTGCCAGTTGGTTTGTGATATTTTGAGATATTAGATAACAGTTAAATTCCAGGCCTTTCAGATATTCTAACGTGTTACATATTTGGGAACATTGCTTAGCCATTCCTATTATTTACAGTGATGATGATTTTAAAGTCCCTGATAAGCCTCTAAGAATTCCTTTGAACAAAGAAAGCTAAGATCCACCTAGGTATCTTAGTCCTAGTTCTAATTTAATGCTTTTTGCAACAGGTTGCTTTTCAACAAGGAGATAGGGCAGAAGTGGCAGAATGAACACTGCAGAGGGCTATATTCACTTTCTAAGGAGCTAGTAAGGAGCTAGTAGAAAAAGTTGTTAATACTATCTCAAATTTTTACAGCCTCTGCCATCAGCAAACAATGTCTCACTGTGATTATATCATGGGAATGTTGATTTAGTTATTACTAAATGGCTAATATTCAAATAACCATTCTAAAGTATTAATAGTGTAATCAGTAATATACAATTAACTCAGATATGCTACCATAAACACTTTTAGATCACTATCTCCACTAATGGAAATTTATAGTAAATTCCTAGAAGACCATTAATATTAGGCTGGTCTCAATCCTGACAGGCGAAGAGCCAAGGTGGCGCAGTGGTTAAATGCAGCACTGCAGGCTACTGCTAGATCAGCAGGTCAGCGGTTCAAATCTCACCGGCTCAGGGTTG